TGGTCCTGCTGCTCAGAGTGGTGTCTGATTTTAATTTTAAACTGACCACCTCTACTGCATCATCAACAGGAATGCACGTAAAGAGTGATGTGACATCAAAAGAGACCATTGTTTCATCAGTCTCCATGGTGACATCCCTCACCTTGTCCACAAAGTCCATGGTGTTCTGTATGTGGTGTTCTGAGCTGCCAACTAAAGGGATGAGTACAGACGCCAGATATTTGGAAACATTGTAAGTGACAGAGTTAATCATGCTAACGATTGGTCTTAAAGGTACACCTTGTTTGTGGATTTTAGGTAAACCATACAGACTAGGTGTGGCCTCCCCTGGGTACAGTCTGTGGTACATGCTGGTGAAGATTCTCAGTCATCCAGGACATGATGAATTCAAAAAACGTTCAATACAAAAACAGCTGGACTTTATTTGTAACAGAAGACGTTTCGTTCCTCATCCGAGGAACTTTCTCAATTCAAAGAGCAGAGAGTGAGAGATACAGGTTATAAGGCTGAGTGAGATAAGACACACACACATGCTAATTTTTTGGGACAGGCATTTTGGGTTTTCATGAGCTGTATGCCATAATCATCAGTATTAAAACAATTAAAGACCTGAAATATTTCAGTTGGTGTGCAATGAATCTGAAATATATGAAAGTTTCATTTTTATCATTACATTATGGAAAATAATGACCTTTATCACAATATGCTAATTTTTTGAGAAGGACCTGTAGGTCCAGGTGTATCTGAAAGACAAAAAAACATGTTAAGGATAGAAAAAATAATTACAAATACAAAACAGGTTGAGCAGAGTAAGTAAAGACAGCAGCAGAGTGAAAAGTGTGGTCAGTTTGTCCTCCAGCAGTCTAAGTCTATAGCAGCATAACTAAGGGACAGCTCAGGAAACCCAAGCCGACCCTAACTATAGGATTTAGCAAAAAGGAAAGTCTTCAGCCTAGTTTTAAAACTGGACAATGTGTCAGCCTCACAGACAGAGGTTGGAAGTTGGTTCCACAAGAGAGGAGCCTGAGAACTGAAAGATCTGCCTCCTATTCTGTTTTTGTAAATTCTAGGAACCACAAGTAAACCTGCAGTCTGAGAGTGAAGTGCTCTGTTAGTAAAATATGGAACAATAAGATCTGTAATATAAGATGGAGCTAGGTTGTTGAGAGCTTTGTAGGTTAGAAGTAAGATTTTGAATTCTATTCTGGATTTGACAGGGAGCCAATGGAGAGAAGCTAAAACTGGAGAGATCTGATCTCTCCCAGTAACTCCAGTTAAGACTTTGGCAGCAGCATTTTGGATCAACTGAAGACATTTTAAAGAAGTATTTGGACATCCAGATGATAAACCATTGCAATAGTCCAGTCTAGACGTGACAAATGCATGGACCAGTTTTTCTGCATCATCTTTAGATCAGATGTTTCTAATGTTAGTGATATTACGCAGGTGGAAGAAGGAGGTTCTAGTAATGTTTTTAATGTGGGGGATAAAAGACACGTCCTGATCAAAAATAACACCAAGATTTTTAACATTAGAGCTGGAGGACAGATTAATGCATCTAAGGAGGGAGAAAGACTGAAACATTCATTCCTAAGGTGCTCAGGTCCAAAAACCAAAACCTCAGTCTTGTCTGTTCAACAGGAGAAAATTAAGGGTCATCCAGGTTTTTATGTCTTTAAGACATGCTTGTAGTCTAAGTAGCTGATTGGATTCATTGGGTTTAATGGACAAATATAATTGTGTGTCATCAGCATAACAATGAAAATTTATCCCATGCTGTTTAATAACTTTACCTAATGGAAGCATATATAAAGTAAAGAGTATTTGTCCAATCACTGAGCCCTGAGGAACTCCATGACTAAATGTGGTGTATGAAGAAGATTTATTATTTATATTT